TTTTTAAAAAATATATTTTTATTTATTTTAGAGAGGAAGGGAGAGGGAGAGAGATAGAAACATCAATGATGAGAGGGAATCATTGATTGGTTTCCTCCTGCACGCCCCCTACTGGGGATTGAGGAACCCAGGACCCTTCAGTCCACAGGCCCATGCCTCTATCCACTGAGCCAAACTGGCTAGGGATCATTTTCCCTCTGATTCTTGCTAACCATAACTCTTAGAGCCATTAACACCTGGTCTCTTCCCCAAGCCATTTCTTTATTAAAACTTCCTACCACTCCCTACCAAGAGTTAGGGTGGGAATTTCTTTTCTGTCTTAAAGTCCTTCATGCCACCAGCTTCTCACTTCCAATCTCTCAGATGTTCCCTTCATTCACCAGAAAGGTTTATTCCATTTCATGTTTGTTTATTATATGTGTTTATGAAATACCTTCCTTCTATTCTTTATCCTAGACCTAGGCAATACCCTATTTTGCAACATGCTCACCTCCTTCCCCCAAGGTTTCTCTTTTTCTGACCGTTACTCACAGTTGCCAAATTCCTAGTCTGTGATACTTTTCATAACTAGAAGTTTTTCATCATTTCTAATGACTTCCATTTTCTCACAATGCAAAAAAATACACAACTTTTTTGCCTTTAATAGACAAGTACTACTAGTACAGATATCTGTTAAATGTTTGTTTGGCGTCATTAAGTCTGTATATGTTTTATAACAAGTACTAAAGAGAAAAGATTAGCTCATCTACTTTGTACTATGCTGAGTGTAGCAAGATATATACAGATAATTTATAAACTTCTGATTATGATGATGCCTGGAGAAGAAGAAAAATTAAAACATCATTAGCTCTGACATGAATATATATATTTCCATTTTTGATTACAAAATAATGACATACACCCATCACACAAAAACTTAAACACAATAAATATCTTTAAACATATTATAAGAAAAAAAGTGATTATTTCACATTAAAACATATATTTCCATTTTTGATTACAAAATAATGACATACATCCATCACACAAAAACTTAAACACAATATCTTTAAACATTTTATAAGAAAAAAAGTGATTATTTCACATTAAAATCTTTATATGATAGCTGATGTTTCATATGTAGTTTAAAGTACTTATTCAATTAAGGCTATGAAATATTGAAGACAAAAGAGGCAAGATAGAGGAAAGAAAGGAGAAAACGCAAAAATATCTCATAAAATTCTGAGTCAATGAATGGCATTTAATGAAATTTTATATACACAAATCCTGAATTGTGCTTTTGAATTTTTTAAAAGCATCTTTGTTTTACACGTTTCTAAAGATATCTTTAGCTTGATTGGAGTACCTCTCTGACATGCCTAAGTTATTTAGACCTTATTACATTATGTAATAATTCCACACTTGGTCTCCCTTTCTAATAAAGACTACATTATTTTAGGAAACTCACATCTATAAAACAATGATCCATTTAAAAACACACACACACAAATGTACCAAAAACTCCCAAATGTGAGAGTATGATCTTCTTAGAAAATTCTATGTTTATTTTAGAAATGGGGCCACGTCTCAAAATATTTTTAGAATTCCTTTTAGAAAACATCATCAGTTAAAAACCACGCAGGAAAGTGAAATCGTGTTACTTTATAGAGCTTTTATTTTAATATATATGACATTACTCACCTGATTCAATCAACTTGACTTCAAATTACATTTTTTGGCTGCATCCAAAAATCAATTTACCCCCAAAAGACAAAGATTTTCTACTACAAACGTTATTTTTTAAAAGTGTGAAAGCATTCTGAGAGCAGCAGGTTAGAGGAAGGGTAAATAAAGCCTCAGCGCCAGTCAGGGCAGATAATTTTGGGGGCTCTACTACAAACGTTATTTTTTAAAAGTGTGAAAGCATCCTGAGAGCAGCATCACCCAATGTATTAGAAACAAAAGCAGCAGGTTAGAGGAAGGGTAAATAAAGCCTCAGCCCTAGTCAGGGCAGATAATTTTGGGGGTAGGATGAGAAACATAACTTTCTAATTATAATTTTAGAATACTTTTTAAAACAGCCACATTTCTTTATTTTCATACTTCAGGTGGCTGAATTTTATGGTAATAAACCACCTTTTCAAAATCCTACAGTTTTACATGGGATATGAATTTAAAATTTCCCACAAAGATTTTAGAGGGATGGGGTATGAAGTAGACCGAAGAGTGTAAGGATAAGAATTTTCTGCTCCCAACCTAAGTACCCAAAGCATGTGTCAGAGTAGCAAGTTCTAGAAATCTGAATTGAATGCTGGTGATTTAGAGGGTTCGGTAAGCAATTCTGAGGGTCTCTGTTCTTTCTTGAAACTATGTGTTTGAACAAATACTGATTGCATTCAATGATTTTGTTTCACAGTGTGATTCCTGTAATAAGAGCTTTTCAGTAATTGTGAATTTTATTTAGTCATTTTTGGCACTTACAGTTCACAATGCTTGGTTGTGTGGTTTCAGATTTTTTTAATTTTTGCACTTTACATTCCTTTTGGCACATATGAAGGTGACATTGTCTTGTATGTTGTTTGGGGAATGGTAGGCCTCCCAATCTGTATCTTTTTTAAATGTTTAGCTTTATGAAAAACACACTTCTCCCCAGAATCCTGCATTAAACGAAGCAGGTAAAAAGCTACCTTCACAAGCTGTGCACCCCAACTCTGCTTAGAGGCTGGTATCCCTGGCTCCAGATGGAGGCTGTTTGGCCAATGCTGTCACAGGTTCCGGTGGCCCTTCCCGGCAGAAAAGTACAACTGGAGTTTTACGAGCCCACAAGGCCATGTCCCCAGCTACCCCGCTGGTCGGATTGGAAGAGTTCATCCTGTTGCAGGCCCCCAGCCGGTTGGCAGACTGGTTTCTGGCCCGCGGGCCCGGGCCCTGGTCGGGCAGGGAAGCGTCCACATTCCTAGTCCGGTAACCCTCTTCCCGACTGCGCCCTAGCAGCATGGATATGTTGGGGTTGCGAATGGCGTAGATGACAGGGTTGATGGCCCCATTGGCCCAAGTCAGCCAGACAGCCACCACGTTGAAGAGCGAGGGGACCTGCGTGGCCTGGGCCTGACGGGCAGCAGCCAGCAGCACCAGGAAGCAGTAGGGTCCCCAGCAGCAGATGACGAAGACGATCATGACTAGAACGGTGGTGGCGGTGCGCACCTCGCTGAAGAAGCGCAGCACCCGCGCGTAGGTGGTCACAGGCCGCACGCGCACACCCGACAGGCGCACGGCCTTGCAGATGTGATAGTGGCAGAAGCACATGAGCAGGAAAGGCAGCAGGTAGCAGGCGACCACGAGCCCCACGCTGTAGGCCGCGCCCAGCTGCGCGGGGTCCGGGGACGTGCGGTAGAGGCAGCCGTG